TAGTTTTTCTATTTTTTTAGTAGAGACAGGGTCTCATCCTTGGCCACCCGCCTGGGCCTCCCACTGAGTTAGGATTACAGACCTGAGCCACCCTGCTGGCCTCTCTAATGCTTTGTGTCCAAAGCAGAGTGCTTCTGTTCCCTCACTCTCATTAATCTTTTCATTGTCTTCTTATTCCTCTTAGAACAGTCAGGGCATGATATATTATCTTCTAGCCCCAAGGATGGGAAAGTACAGCTGGTAACAGGAAGAGAGAAATCATATTCCTGGGAGCGACAGGTACCCAGGCCTGACCTGCGTGAGGCGGTAGGGGAACCCAGCCCTCTGTGTCTGCCGAGAGAGGTGCCACGGACCACGCAGCACAGGCTTCCATCAGAAAGACCTCCACAGAAGCAAGACAGCACTGTGGATTCACAGCCGTAAGCTGACCGAGTCTCCTGGGAATCCCTGCCCACGATGCCAATGAAGACTCCCGTGCTGACATCAGCCTTAGATTCATTCAGTCTCTTGTGTTTTCACATTCCCCTCGCACCTCTCCTGAAGCCTGGCTCTCTGATCTCTGCCTCTGTTTCCTAGAAGATGACTGCAATCTGGCCTGCATTGATGTTTCTGGAATATCATGTCTATGTTCAGGGTAAGCATGCTTCTGAAGCTCCAGAAAAACGTCTATTTTCTTGCCATCAGCACTCAAATTGAGTTGTCGGCACCAGTTTCACAACCTGCCTCCACACGCATTCCTAATGGGAGGAAAAATGGCCAGCAGGGGAAGAATTGGTATTTTACATTGAGATTTTGGGGAACTTTTCAACCGTTCATTCGTTAGAGGTGGATGAACTTTTTTTTCATTGTTTGGGATTGTTTGGTTTAATATCTGAAGTTGAAGAGATAGTTGGTTCTATTTATTCTGTATTTGAGACGTCTTTACCTAGAACCAGCGTCTACATCACACTTTCTTCATCGTCTGTTTCTTCCTCAGAGAAATTCTTCTTGCTGTTACCATGATTTGAGTCTGACATTTTCAGTAACACTTAGTAATCTGACTTAGCCTGAGTTGCTTTGTCCAGGCAGAATGGATCTAAGTCAGGCTTCTTCAGGGCATGGCACACAAAAAGGTTGGGTTTCAAGGCAGCTGCCGTCTCCTACAATGTCGGGGCTCTAAGCAGCTGCCTGTCTCCTACAATGTTGGGGCTCTAGGCAGCTGCCTGCATCCTTGGTTCTTGGTGTGCTCTTGGTCGAAAAATGACCTGATACCCCAAAGTAAGGCAGGCATGAAACACATTTTGTTGAGAAAGAGAAAGATAGGTTTACAGAGTAAGATAGTTTACGAAGCCAGACATGTTTGCCATAGACAGTGAATGGGTCTCCATTGCCAGGAAAAGTAGGTGAAGAGGCCCTCCCCGGGTCTCCTGCCTTTCCAAACTCTACGGGCTGCTCACACTCCCTGGCCCAGGACCCCCGCTCCCTCTGCAAAGCCAGGAAGTTGAGCTGACTCCTCACACTGTCCCCACCTCTCTCTTTCCATCTTCTCATCCTGCCTCTCACTTTTAAGAACGCTTTTGATGACACTGGGCCTGCCCAGATCATCTAGGACAGGCACCCTCCTTTAAGGTCAGCTGATTAACAACCTTAATTCCATCTGCAACTTTAATTTCCCTTTGCCCTGCAGTCGAATATATTCCTTCATTCTGGGGATTTGGACCTCTTCTGGGGAGGCAGAAACTTAGGCTGACAATAGGTTAAAGAGTGCATAAAATGAATCCTTCACCAGAAAATAAATGCCACATGCCAAAAAGCTGCCAGGAGGGTCACAGAAAACTGCACTCTCTCAAGTTAAATAATTTAACAGATATGGAATTTTACCTTGGTAGACCAGTCCCTGGGTGACAAGCATGCTTACAAGAGAAAATGGCAGAGCTGTAAAACAAAAACACCCTTTAATACTGACAGTTTAAAATCGGCACCCCACCTAGAGTCAGGAAGAATTGCTCTGAGCTTTTTTTTTCTCTTACCTTCGTTGGCAGTGAGTTTTTATTCATTTGTTATTTATTTACTCAGCAAACATTTATTATTTATTTATTTATTTATTTATTTTTTTGAGATGGAGCCTCAAGCTGTCCCCCTGGGTAGAGTGCCATGACATCACACTCACAGCAACCTCCAACTCCTGGGCTCAAGCGAGTCTCCTGCCTCAGCCTGCCAAGTAGCTGGGACCACAGGCGCCCGCCACAACGCCCGGCTATTTTTTTGGTTGCAGCCATCATTGTTGTTTGGCGGGCCCGGGCTGGGGATTCGCCACCTTAGGTGTATGTGGCTGGCGCCTTAGCCGCTTGAGCCACAGGCGCCGAGCCTCAGCAAACATTTATTAAGGGCAGCTGGAGATGTGGGATCTGCCCCAGCCAGTCGACCTGGTGCACAGAGCTGACCTGACCCCATCTGACCCCACACTGCCCCCCTCTGCCATCACATGTGCCCAACAGCAACACGCCAGATTCTTACACACACAACACAGGTATCTTAGTGTGTACACAGAGCTGCCTTTAGCTACACATATATTTTGAATTCTTCAATCCCTTGTAAATGTAAAGAGCAGTACAGTGAACTCTTGAGTACTCTTTATCTAGATTCATGAGTTGTGAATGATTTGCCAAATTTGCTTTATCTCTATTTTTTCTTCTTCTTCTGAGACTTATTTTTTTTGAGACAAGAGTCTCACTCTGTCACCCTGAGTAGAGTGCCACGGAGTCACAACTCACAGCAACCTCAAACTCTTGGGTTCAAGTGATTCCCTTGCCTCCGTCTCCCAAGTACCTGGGACTATAGGCACTTCCACAATGCCCTAGATTTTCTGTTTTTAGAGATGGAGTCTTGCTCTTACGCAGGCTGGTCTCAAACTACTGAGCTCAAGTGATCTACCTGCCTCAGCTTCCCAGAGTGCTGGGATTACAGGCATTAGCTACCATGCCTGGCCTTTTTTCTGGGCCATTTGAGATTTGCAAACATCGTGACCCTTCTCCAGGTACCTGCTAAGCACCAGAACATCCCACGTGATCACAACCCTATTAGCATAGTTAACATTTTGGTATTTCCTGAATACTCATAATCAAGAAAAACTGTATGAACTAATACACAAATTATATTCATATATCCCCAATTGACCCAATAATGTCCACCAAATTATGGGGTTTTTTCCAATTCAGAAAATCAGGGATCATGGCTTGGTGTCTGCAGCTCAGTGAGTAGGGCGCTGGCCACATGCATTGAGGCTGGTGGGTTAGAGCCTGGCCCGGGCCTGCTGGACAACAATGACAACTGCAACAACAACAACAAGATAGCCAGGTGTCGTGGTGGGCACCTGCAGTCCCAGCTACTTGGGAGGCTGAGGCAAGAGAATCACTTAAGCCCAAGAGTTTGAGGTTGCTGTGAGCTATGACACCATGGCACTCTGCCCAGGGCAACGAAAAAAAAAATTAGGGATCATGTGCTCCATCCACTCTCTCTCTAATCTGCTTTCATCAAGGACAATCCCTTGCCTTTTACTTTTTTCTTTTGTTTATTTGTTTTTTGATTCTTTGTGACATTTTGTCCTACAATTTGAATTTGCTTGAAGATCCAATTAAAGATTACAAAATGGGCCTGGTGGCTCGCGTGTGTAATCCTGGCACTCTGGGAAGCCAAGGAGGGTGGACTGCTTGAGCTGGGGAGTTAGAGACCAGCCTGAGCAAGAGCAGGACTCCATCTCTACTAAAAACAAAACAAAACAAAAAAGTCAAAAAACTAGCCTGGTGCTGTGGTGGGCACCTGTAGTCCCAGCTACTCAGGAAGCCAAGGCAGGAGGATCTCTTGAGCCCAGGAGCTTGAGGTTGCTGTGAGGAAGGATGACGCCAGGACACTTTAGCCTGGGGCAACCAAGTGAGACTGTCTCCAAAAAAAAAAAAAGAAAAAAAAAAAGACTACATTCATGCTAACCATGTGTAATGTTTAGCTATGTTTTTAAAACAGGCAATTTAGCTTGGCCAAAGTAGTTTCTAGATTGTCAACATGTGTTGAATGACTTTTTCCACAAGCAGAGAGCAGTGATGAACATCTAGCTCTTTCCAGCTCCTTCAAGACAAATGGAAGAGCAACCAAGCTTTCCACTCCCGACTACCTCACTGGTGGTAGGTGGGATCTCTTCAGGCCCCTCCTCTTCCTGGGTGTGCCTGTCTCATTCACTCATCTCATTCCTCTCTGACCATCACAACTATTCTGGGTATCTAGTGTCTAATGTTTTTGTTTCTTCACTTTTCGGAAAATGCTGACTGTTTTGAGTGCATGCATTTTAGGTGTGTGTAAATAGTGCTGTTTTATATGTTTATTTTATTCTTAAAATATTTATTCTGAGCTCTATGCTTATAATCTCTGCCATGCTGCTGGTCCACTGCTTCTAACAGCTGAATAATTCTCCACGAACTATGAACTCTATAAAACTTAGAGCCTAGTAGAAATTAGGGAGTTCTTCTCTTTGGGAGTCAAGAAATTCTGAATAATACTCATGGTGCCCATTCTTGGTCACATAAAGGAAAGAGTTATAGGTGGATCACTTTTTTCCATGTGAGGTAAAATGCTTCTTAATCTGTTATTATCTCTGCACTGGAAAAGGTCTCTAAATCTATATGGATTTAAACTCTAGACATCCCCAAATATCAAAGTTCTTCAGGGATTTATCTAAGTTTCTACTCTAAAAAAAAAACATCACCTCAATTCCAATATGATATCTAGGCAGTTCGTTGCAGCAAACATGGCATTAGCTGAGATCAAGAGGGGTGCAGTTACCTCTCTTCCAGAAACTTTCTTCTTGACATTCTCGCATAATCTTTGAGATCTCTCCTCTGTGGATGTGCAGTTTCGATTTTGGACAGAACAACAGGCTCTGTAAAGAAGGTCACAGGGGAGTTAACTGAGATCACCAGAAAAGCATCCTGTTTGTTTTCTCTGGAGGAGGACCCGGAGGTCTCTTCACTTGTTACCCCGAGGCCTGTGCTCCGTGCCAGGGGCCAGCTCAGAGCGATGACCAGTTTCTGTGAGTGTTTCCAGCTGGGAAGGCTGATGGATTTAGGCAGGGGGAGACCCCCAGTAGGAGAGCTGGAGTGACTCACGGAGCAGATGTGCGGTCAGGCCGATTTACTGTGGAGGCCACATTTCCTTCCTTACCTCCACGTGTCTGTGCACCTGGCTCACTATATCCAGAGCTCTATGACTCCCTTCCTACCAGATCCCTTAAGATCCAGCCCAGTGTCGCCTCCTGGGTGAGATTTCCCCCACAGCACAATATTTAACACAAGGGGCATCACTGAACTCAGATCACCATAGTACAAAAGTGATTTTTATTTATATGTACTCCTCCAAGCATTTTATTTTTATTTTACTTTTATTTTTTTAAGTGATGGGGTTTCACTATGGTGCCCAAGGCTGGAGTATAATGGCTATCCACAGCCACGACTCCATTACTAATCTGCATGGGAGTTTTGACCTGCTCTGTTTGGGTTGTTTCACCCCTCCTTAGGCAACCTGGTGGCCCCTGCTCCCAGGAGGTACCCTACTCATGCCAAACTTAGCATGGGCACCGATGGGCACAGCACACTGTGGCCCAGAACTCCTGGACTCAACCGATCCTCCTGCCTCAGCCTCCTGAGTAGCTGGGACTATAGGCGCCCGCCACCAAGTCCGGCTGCTTGCAGTTTTAGACTGTGAACTCACCAACAGACAGCTTTTTATTATTCTACCTAGATTACTCTCAATCTTGACAGGTTTTCTTTTACATACTTACAAGTGGCATATGCATAATTTCTGATGCAATCTGTGAACATGATTGACAATTACTTTACTTGTTGTACAGTATTTTTTTACTATGTTGATATCCTCTAATCTGGACCAACCCCATCTTTCATGATCTCTCCTCCTTCATAGCTGCATCTGTGTTACCCGTCTCACTCTCATTCTCTGCTTTCATTTCTCTGGGTCCATCGCAACCATTCTGGATGTCTACCACGCACCTTTTATTTCTATGCAATCCTGCAAAATGCTCATTGCTTGGGGTGCTGGCTTCTTGCTCATGTCAATGGTGCTGTTTTATATATTATATTTTACATCCTTATATAAAAGTGTCAACTCTGCTTCCTGCTTTTAAGATCCATCCATGCTGGTACCCCACTGCTTCTCACAGCTGCTTAATTCCCCACGATGCCTCTGAGTCCACACTGTCC